GGTCCCGCAGCTGCCAAGCCAACGGGCTGGGCTGGGCTTGTCTCTGCACCACCCTGGAGCTCAGCAGGAGCCACCGCTGCGCTCAGAGTCCAGGAGGGGAGCTGGGGCACTTCTACTGGCACATGCAGAGAGCTTTGCCCTGGGGCTGGGAGTGAATGATCACAGGGTCTTTCTCTCCCACCCTGCTAGGTGGATACAGAGCTCTGACCCAGGGTCTCACAGCCCCTCCTCTGCACTAGCCACAGACACTTTAAGAGGCAGCAGAAAAATTCCTTCTGGGTCTGCTTCCTAGAAATCAGCCCCCGGCTCTGGCTTTCTGCATTGCAGGAATTCCAGCCCACGGCACTCCCGGGGTTAAGGACCCTTTGTTCCCCCAAGAGCGGCAGAGCTGCTGCACAAACAATCGGACCAGAGCTGCTGCTGCTTCAGGGGTCACCCTTCTGCCCGTGCTGTTAACCCCCCTGGATGGATGCCACCGAGTGGCTCCCTGAGCCTGTCTCCAGTTCTGTTGTACTGTGGTAGGTTTGGCTCCTTTTGGATGTTTTTTTGGCAGATCAAGTCAAAGTATTTGTTTTTCCTCCCCTAAAGATAATGGCTTCGAGTTCCCTAAGGAGGCCCAAGCGCAGCACTGGGGAGCAGGCTGGGAAGGCAGGAGCTGGGTGCTGCTTGGCAGCAGCTGCAGCCTGTGGCACAGAACTGGGGACCACAGGTGGCACTGGGGGCTGGCATGCAGGGCACAGCCCAGGGAGCCTGGTGCCAGGACAGACATAACTGCTGGGGTAGGTGTGGAGAGCAATTCTGTCCATCTGCAAAGCACAGGGACAGGAGCCTGGGCTGCAGTCAGCTCTGGACTACTCCCTGGTGTCTTGCTTCCATGAGCAGACATGGGATGACCTTCCCCCCACTCTGGCTGTGTGTTCTCTCCTCAAAGCAATGCCTTTGCCTGATTTCGTGGCTCCTGGAGGCCGAGACCGTGCTCTGAGTGCCAGCACTGCCCAGCAGCAGCTTTCCAGTGGTGTGCACAGGGGTGGCAGGGAAGGGCAGAAGCAGTGCTATGGGACCTTGGTCCCCACACTGAGGTCTTCCACTGACTATGGACTCGGATGGTAAAAGCCAGTGGTGGGGAGATCATAGGCATTTAAGCATTTAGCTCGGAAAAGACCTTTATGATCATTGTGTCCCTCCACCCCCCAGCACTGCCAGGGCCCCACTGCCCCGTGTCCCTCACACATCTCATCGCCTTGGAAACCCCTCACAG